TTGTAATCACACCACATCTGTCCTAAGTGCATGAAGTCAAATATGAAGAGTCGAACCACAAAATACTTTACTTGCCTTGAATGTAGTTTTTGCATTGTTGATCCAGGATGTAGGGAAGTATTTTAGTACAATTGTGAAAGACTGTCTTCATGAAAGTAATATAGTCAAGTCAGAATACAAGCAACTAAAAAATTTTTTTGGTAGGCTATGAAAGTTGCAGAGCAGACAATAGTCTGGAGCAGTGTCCATTCTGACAGCAAATTTTGACTTAGTTTCAGTCAAAAGATTTAGAGTGAGAAATAGAGACAATCCCTGGTTTAATGACTCCATATCGTCACTTATATATATAAAAAAAGAGATATTGCATGGGCTAAAGCAAAGAAAACTAATAATGATATGGACTGTGGATTAATTACAGAACAATAAGAAATAATTGTACAAAATTAGTAAAAAGCTCTAAATGTGATCATTATTTAAATATGATAAATGAGAATATTAATGATCCGTCTCATTTTTGGAAACTAACCATATTAGTTTCTGGTCAATAAACCTCTACCAATCTACCTGATTATTTTAAATTAAATGAGTGTATAATTAAAGATAGAGAGAATATAGTAAATGCTTTTAATAGCCACTTTATTTCTGTGGGAGTAACCCACGACTATAGCAATTTAAGGAAACAAGAAAACGTCTCTGTTACGTATGGTAACCCTCGTTCCCTGAAGGAGGGAACGGAGACGTCACGTCGGATGACCAATGCACATTGGCATGCGATTATTGCATCCAGCTGCTGCTGATCACAGCGTGAGTATAAGTAGGCAGCAGATGCAGTGCATATTCAGGTTTTCGCTGAGGAGCCAAGCCGGTGACCCGGCCGCTCAGCGGTGGTACAGGAGCTGTGGCGACGGGACGTGACGTCTCTGTTCCCTCCTTCAGGGAACGAGGGTTACCATACGTAACCGAGACGTTCCCTTTCAGTCGGTCACTCCTGACGTCACGTCGGATGACCGATGTAATTGGGATCCTACCAAAAGGCACAGCTACTGCCCCTTCCAGTGTCCTGTGGAAGCCACCTGCGCCCCTATTTTTTGGCGCAGGCCAGGGCCTGCACAAGAGGACCAGCTACTGCTACAATGGCACTACCCACTGAGTAAGACTGGATAAAACTGGGAAAACGTACCCGTTCCACTTGGACCAGGGACGTTACAGAAGCTCGAACCTTCCCGAAGGAGGTTTCGGAAGCAAGAAACATATGGACATCCCTTAGGTGCATATGGAAGAATGGAGGTGATTGAACCCTCTTGGAATGGCAGAAGTCTGCCGGGGAAACACAGGCTCAAGGTTATACCGTGGACTTTACACATATGAGATCCACTTGGGTCTTATATATGGAACCCAGCCTTCTACCGGTTCTCGAGGATTCAGCGAGTGAAGGCCTGGTGCCGGACGCTCCGCCACGTCTGGCTGCCGAGGGGACGGAGGAACTCAACAGGGTCTACTGTATGGACTTGTAGGATGTTTGGAGGTTTTTTCATCCTTCTGTAGGAAACTTTTTCCTTGTCGAAGCAGAAAACCAGGAGACGTTGGGATATCTTTCATACAGAAGTCACTCTTTATTGAGGACTCGCTGTGCGTCGCTGCAGTCATCCAAGTCTGACTATAGCTCAGCACAGTAGAGTTTATATACATTTTGAGGGGGCGGGATTCATTCAGTATGTGTGGCGACAATCTGAACAAAGCATGCAAATGCAATACAGGAATCAGCCCATTACCGGAATTTCTCCAGCCCTGATCTCATCAGCATAACAGTGTCATTCAAATGCATAGGTGCTAATCCAATCAGCATAACTACTCAAAGACTGGGGCAGAGGCACCAAGAGCCCTTACAAACGAAAGGTGACTTTCTCAGTAATTTGGCTAATTTGACTAACAATAAGAGAAACCGGAACAGACAGGAACCTCTTGCTACACTTTGTTTAAGATAATCATTTGTCTGATGTAATTTACCTTAAATGCTAAATACAATGTACTTCACCTTAGTTTTTCATGTGATGCTATGTCAGAATATAGTATCAGCATATTTTAAACAGATTCTTAAATTTGTAATCCAACAGACTCTCTGGAGTGGTTTTGCAAGCCGACCCGAAGCCGGGGCCCCTCAGTGCTTCTACCCATTAGAGGTGAGAACACAGGAGGATCCGGCTCCACACGAAGGCTATAAAATCTGGCGAACGTGTTAGGGGTCGCCCAGCCCGCAGCTCTACACATATCCGCCAGCGAGGTGCCATGAGCCAGCGCCCAGGAGGATGCAACATTTCTAGTTGAGTGAGCTCGCAACGTCGTCTATAAAAAGATGCACCCGAAATTGCTCTTTTAGGGGGAAAAGCTCTTTTAGCATACTGAGGCACACAGGGGAGATGATCATCTGCAACACAAATAGGGGGTAGTGCAGCCTGATGTGTGCAACCCACTCGACACGGGAAACCACCACCGCTGAAGCGCCGTACCGCCAACACGAAGAGCTCCCAAGAGCACGCTGAACTCGTTCAGTCTTCTTCTTTCAGTAGAGTAGTCAAGAGCAGAACGATGTGATCGCTCGGCTCCAAAGCGAAAAGTTGAATATGCGCTGCATCTGCTGCCTACTTATACTCACGCTGTGATAAGCAGCAGCTGGATGCAATAATCGCATGCCAATGTGCATTGGCTCGTTTAGTTTACACTCGAAGTAGATTGGTCCCTCTAAGCGAGATCCCAATGACGTCGGGAGTGACCAACTGAAAGGGAACAAGGAAATTACTTCATGTTGTACTAGCTGTTTAGTTTTACTACCATTTTAGCTACACAAGTTCATAAAGTTCTACCAAATTTGGATATTAAAAAATCAACAGGGTCTGATCAAATAGAACCTTTTTTTTGTTAATTTCTGCAGATCTTATAACAGAGCCCATCAATTCTATTTTTAACTTGAGTTTAACTTAAAATGTTATTCCTCATGCATGGAAATTAGCACAGGTTCTCCCTTTATTAAAAGGTGGTGACCCATCAGTTTTGGATAACTATCGGCCAATTAGAAGGTTGTCTGTGTTGGCAAAAGTATTTGGATCTTTTGTTAATGATCGAGTGAAACGGTTCTTATCTGAAAATAAAGTTTTAAATTAATTTCAATCAGGTTTTAGATCGGGTCATAGTACTATTACAGTAGCTATGCTGGTTACAAATGATATTGTTAAATGTTTGGATAGTAAACAACATTGTGCAGCATTATTTGTAGATCTCTCTAAAGCATTTGACTCTGTAGATCATAAACTTTTATTACAGAGGCTAAGTTGTATACCCAGTAAAATCAGCAGTGTAATATTTGCAGTGTTAAAAGTTATTAATTCCCAAAGAGTTGAATTAACAATCTACAGTGTTAAACAGTACTCATGTTCAGTGCTGTTATATGGTGTAATTTCACTTTTACACTGAAAGTGCGGAATGAAAAACCTGCCGAATTGTCTGGACTCCGCTCTTCAATGACTGCTGTTTTGCAAAGCGACGATGCCATTTTTTCTTCAAGCGATCGAGACGGTAAGTTGGATTGCTTTTGTCAGGTTTAGTGTTAAGTACGTGTTCCTGAGCTTCAGAGATGTAACGTTAAGTTAAAGAAGAGTGTGAAAGTTTCTCATGCTGGTTCGATTTCCTGAAAAAAGGTGATTACGTGTAAAATAACTTTTTGGAATGTGCTTACAATTTATGTTATATATGCTTTTAGCTTCTTTAATTTTTGTTCGTTCGTTGACAGATCCTCTCGCCTCCATTCCCGCTGAGGCCTGGTTTTACTATGAGTCACATTTGGGCGGTTTTCTACTCAAATGAGAGAATTCATCAAATGGTAAATTTATATTTATTTTTGAAAGCATTGAGTGTGGCATTTCACTGTTTCCATGATTTTAAAACGGTAACAGTGGGACTGTTAAACATTACTAGCTAACAATTTCATTTTTGTGACGCATAACACCGTGTTGAAGTGTCTGTCGCCGCTGCAAACGAGCAGTCTCTCTGCGGACAGAGCTGGCATAACGCGGAACATTTACCAGTCATTTGATTGATGTTATCTAATGCAAAACTCTGAAATTAGAGTGCATTAAGAAAAATTCCATTCGCCATAGGCTTAAGTGTGAACTGCATTACAAATGCGCTACTAAGTTTTTCTTATGACAATTACATTTATGACGGTAAGTTGGATTGCTTTTCTCTTTATTAAAGTACACGGGGAAAACAGTTTTTTTGATAATTCTACTCAAAATAGGATTGGTTGTTAACACGTTTAGAAATTACTAACTGTGCGTGTTTTTGTCAGGTTTAGTGTTAAGTACGTGTTCCTGAGCTTCAGAGATGTAACGTTAAGTTAAAGAAGAGTGTGAAAGTTTCTCATGCTGGTTCGATTTCCTGAAAAAAGGTGATTACGTGTAAAATAACTTTTTGGAATGTGCTTACAATTTATGTTATATATGCTTTTAGCTTCTTTAATTTTTGTTCGTTCGTTGACAGATCCTCTCGCCTCCATTCCCGCTGAGGCCTGGTTTTACTATGAGTCACATTTGGGCGGGTACGTGTTCCTGAGCTTCAGAGATGTAACGTTAAGTTAAAGAAGAGTGTGAAAGTTTCTCATGCTGGTTCGATTTCCTGAAAAAGGTGATTACGTGTAAAATAACTTTTTGGAATGTGCTTACAATTTATGTTATATATGCTTTTAGCTTCTTTAATTTTTGTTCGTTCGTTGACAGATCCTCTCGCCTCCATTCCCGCTGAGGCCTGGTTTTACTATGAGTCACATTTGGGCGGTTTTCTACTCAAATGAGAGAATTCATCAAATGGTAAATTTATATTTATTTTTGAAAGCATTGAGTGTGGCATTTCACTGTTTCCATGATTTTAAAACGGTAACAGTGGGACTGTTAAACATTACTAGCTAACAATTTCATTTTTGTGACGCATAACACCGTGTTGAAGTGTCTGTCGCCGCTGCAAACGAGCAGTCTCTCTGCGGACAGAGCTGGCATAACGCGGAACATTTACCAGTCATTTGATTGATGTTATCTAATGCAAAACTCTGAAATTAGAGTGCATTAAGAAAAATTCCATTCGCCATAGGCTTAAGTGTGAACTGCATTACAAATGCGCTACTAAGTTTTTCTTATGACAATTACATTTATGCAAGCATCATGAAAGTGAGTTAAATGTATGTTAAACTGTAAATCCGTCAGTCTTTCAATTTCCGTCAGTGCCCACTGGCAGAGAATGCAGGTACTTTAGCTTGAAACAAGTCTTTATCAATTCATATGGCATGCTATTTTTGGTTTTAAAATGTCCTAAATATTTCCAGATATACAAAGTTTTAATGGAGAAATATGTCTGAATCTATCTGTATTTTCTTTTCACATTATAAAATATTAATAGTAAGGTAAATTCTTAACACGTGTTAATTTATTCTAATGTAGTACCTTGTTCATTTTAACATGCCTTATTACTTAAATTGATGTCACTTAATTAATTATACAAATGTATTTAATAATCAGATTAAATAAATACTTAAATTGTTTCAGGCCTCCATGTGAATATTGCACAATGTTTCATTTAATTGACCCTAGAATGAAGGATGTAAATAAAAATAAGTTTACGATTTGACACCTGTATTATAGACAGTTCTCAGCATACTCAAAATTAGGGGTAATCACTATTATTTTACCATATTTACAGTCCTAATATACATTTAAATTACTGAAATAAGTGTTTGTTTATTTTTTCCTTTTTCAATAGAATTGGCCCAGACTTCTGATGTGTCAAGTGAAGGAAGCTCCTCTCATAAGATTGCAAACTGGGAGTCTGATGACACTGAGTGTGAGTGATGGAAGCCCTTAGGAGCAGAATGCTGAAGACTTGTGAGTTTGTGTCATTTATATGTTATTCTATGTGCAGTACGAATTTAAAACGCACAAATGAATATGAAAAATTTAAGTTTAACTGGGCAGGCACACAATATCAGCTTATGTTCACACCTGGAATTTACTAATTATTAATTTAAGATATCATACTGCAAAAAGATAAATGGTTAGTTGACCCAAAAATGAAAAATTGTCATTATTTCTCACTCTCTGTCATTCCAAACTGGCAAGACTTGCATTCATTTTCAAAACACAAATGAAGACATTTTAAATGAGAAAATGTCCTTCCATCGACAATCTACACAACTACCACTTTGATACTTCAAGAAGTTCATAAAGAAATCATACAACTAATCCAAATGAATCGAGCGGTTTAGTCCAAATTTTCTGAAGAGACTCGATCGCTTTACAATGAACAGAATTAAAAAAAAATTTCACATTTAAACATTGATCAGGGAACATAAACAGAAAAACAGAAAATTTGGACTAAACCACGATACGTATGGATTAGATCTCTTTATGAAGTTTATGAAGTATCAAAGTCTTAGTTGTGTGGACCATCATTCAAGGGACAGAAATCTTATATTCTATTAAAATATCTTCAGTTGGGTTTCAAAGATAACAAAAGTCTTGGCTTGGTAAACTATGATGAAATAAAAAATTGAACTAAGCCTGTAATAAAAGAATGTGGCCATATGCGTCACCCAAGATGCGTGCTAATGCCAGGTGTGAACAGAGCCACTGTGTGACTACACAATCAGCTTAGCAGAATGGTTTCTGAGAGAGATATTGTTGTCATTAATTGTTTTTTTTCTTTTTCAAGAAGCCAAGTTCCTGGCTTCTCCCAAGACATTCAAGCACCCAAATGACCTCGGAATCAGCTGAAAAGGAGGATGAAAGTCTAAGAATGTCTAAGGTTAGACTATATTTCAGAATAATATTATCTATATTCTGTGTTCATGCATTTTTTTGCTAAAGTTATCATATCGGTTATTTAGAATGGGACAGCGATATTGCATCAATTGGTCTCCTACTTCATTTGATTCCACCATCACCACAAGGCTGCAAGGGATCCTATCAAGCTGAAAAACATCTTCAAAAAGGTACATTTGGACATTTCTGTCAGTGCCTATTGTCTGCCTCAAAATATTGCCAGATGGGTTGTATATGAAAGACTAATGTAAATAAAATCAGTTGGAGAGCTGACCTTGAGTGTTATTTTTGTCTTTGATCTGCAGGCACCAACAAGAAGAACAGCTTGATTGCAAAGAAGAGACCACACAACCATACCTGCTCACTGATGGGACAACGAGGAACATCATTCATGGATGCTACACAACTGTCAAATCTTGTCATATTTGTTCATGTCTAGATAAATTTGATGATTTTGTGTTTTATTAACTATTTTATGTTTCTGTGCAATACTTAATGAATGTGACTGACTAATTAACCTCTACACATCTAATATATGCTTCAAAGTTGCCACTTTGCCCATTTGTTAAATAAATGTTGAAATTTATACATCTGTCTGAAGACTCTTCATTTTATGTCTAATCTTGTACATTAACACCATACAATAGCATTTGTTTTGTTTGCACTGAAAATAATACTTTATTAACCCCCTGGGGTCGACAGTTCCGGCAGCGGAACGTTTTGCAGATTTGAATGTTGACAGCGAAAAGAACTAAAATGCTCCTTCATACTTGATCGTACATATAAGAGTAATACAGCATTTCAATCTGTAAAGGGTCTACTTTTATTTGTGTACACTCACAATATCAACAAAACATTGTGCTTTTGCTAAATAAAGAAAATATAGAGTGAGCAGTCTCATTCTCCGCGCATGTCTGTTTGAAACGCGTCACTAAAATGAACTGAAACTCAGCGAATATAGTTTATAAAATTCTTATAGAACTGAATACACCACTCTTGCCTTCACCTGCATCTCTCACAGAAAGGGGACGCTCGTTCAGTTTTCAACTCCACTTTGAATCTTAGAGTAAGTGGGAATTCACTATTTTACAGATGTTACTTTCTTTTGATTTATTTGCTGTATGGTACACTATATGTGGTAATTGTGTTCTTTGTTTCGATAAATTAGTACTAGTATCAGTGAACATCATAATAATGTTAATAATGTAGTTTGTGTAAACAGCATGCTTGCTTTTTTTATTTCAGATGTGAGAATAACAGTGCAAAAGAACCTGTTGCAAAGAGAGCCAAAGCAACGCAGCCCACTCACTCATGGAAAACAGAGACTGATGTTGACATGTTCCACAAGCTCTGAGATTCCTGCCCCGCACAAGAGCCTGGACCACAGCTAAGACCATGTGATGCACACATTCCCAAAATGATGTGATAGTTATATATATTCTAAATAAACTACAAACAAAAAATATACATTTATTTTTTTCCTCACATTCTTTCTTGCAGCAATTCCCTCTCAGTCACACACCTGACAGCTCATTATGCAGGCCTTTGTCTTCTCAGGTGTGAATCACAGCATTATTCATGATCATTCACGCCTCCTCGCATATACCTTTTCTACACAAAAAGTGTCTTAGAAAATTGAAATCAATATATTGTTTTCTGTGAATGAGTAAGATGATTTTCACATAATTTTGAAGCAAAAACTCTAGACTTCAAGATCAAGTTCTAAAACGTCTTGTGATCAAATGTTCTGTATGTGTTTTATGGCCTTATTTCAGTGACTTTAAAATTTTAGTTTTTCACTAAGCACACATAAACGTTGTTTTCTCAAAAACACAATCACATGCTGCTCATATATTATTGTAGCCCGGTTTGTGCTGGATTACAGTGTTATTAAACTTGAGACATTCAAATGTTTGTAAGCAACTGAAAAAAAAGCACAAATAACAGGGCATGTTAAAACTTTTCAAGGCCCCAAAACACTCTCGGACCCCAGAGGGTTAATAAAGTCTGTATGGTGCCCTGGTGGCCTGTATACAATAGCCAGTACAAACGACACAGTGGATTTATCATTAACACTTGTTTCTCTGGACAATGTTATATGAAGCACCATTACTTCAAACGAGTTATACTTGAAGCCCGCCTTCTGAGAAATACTGAAAACATTGTTATAAATTGAAGCAACACCTCCCCCTTTACCTTTTGGACGCGGCTCATGTTTATAACAGTAATCTTGAGGTGTAGACTCATTTAAAATAATGTAATCATCAGGTTTTAGCCAGGTTTCTGTCAAACAGAGCACATCTAGTTTATGATCAGTGATCATATCATTTACAAAAAGTGCTTTTGTAGAAAGGCCAATTGTCTATGAAACCTATGGTATTCTGTGGGCACCACTTAGACATCCAGCCATTGAGTGACGACAGTCTGCCATGTATCTCATCACCACGGTAAGCAGGGAGGGGACCAGAGCATAATTACAGTGTCTGAAATCTTACTTGCAAGTTTACACACCTCTTTAAATGTTATTGTTAGTGATCTCTGACTGGTGAGCATGAATAACAAACTTACTGTATTTACGTTTAGCATTAGCCAGCACTTTTAAATTTGCCAAGATGTCAGGCGCTCTGGCTCCTGGTAAACATTGGACTATGGTGGCTGGTGTCTCCATTTTCACGTTCCGTACAATAGAATCACCAATAACTAGAGCACTTTGATCAGGTTTCTCAGCGGGTGCGTCACTGAGTGGGGAGAACCTGTTTGGTGTTTTGATCGGTGTTTGGACCCGCGACTTTGTCGCCTCACAGTCACCCAGTTGCCCTGCTGCGGAGGCTGTTACCGGAACCGAACAATGTACAGAACTCCTTGAGCTAGTCGCATCCAAAGCCGTATCTAGAGCCCTCACATTCTTACTGTCCTCAATTAAAGTTTGGATGTGTGTCTCTAATTCTGAAACCTTCTCTGTCAGTCTAACTATTTCCCTGCATTTATCACATGTGAATCCCTCGTCGCCGACAGAGAGAGATAAACTATACATGTGGCAAGCGGTGCAAACAACAATAGCAGGAGAAGAAGCCATTACTCACCATGATTGATGAATGATTCTTACTTACCACAGTTGTTTGATGAACTTGTGAAAAAAAAAAAAAAAGGAGCAAGAGAAAAAAAGAAAAGAAAAAAGCAATAGGCACAGATGGAAAAGTTAATGACAAGCTAACGAATGCTAACGCGCTACAGATGCGCTACACTCGCAGTTTTAGAACAACAGTGAACGATCCAAATTAATCAGATTAGGCTGATAGATATTATCAGAAGTATGGTGGGAATTAAGTTATATTTTATCACTTTAAACAACAGAAAGAAATAGAGATTTTACAGAAAAAACAGAGCTACACGAAGCTACAATCACAAACCAGCAGCACTGCAAACAAGAAGCAGGAATAATACGGTCCAACAGCCAAAGGAACCTGAACCTGAAATTTCTGAAGAGTTCAGAGGCTGAAAAAATGGCAGCAATGATGGAGAACTATAAGAACATGAAAGAAGATTTAACAAAAGGCATTAGCTAAAAAGAAGGAGCTTGAAGAGAAAATTGTGTCACATTAATTTTCTGTAAAGCTGCTTTGAAAAGATGTGTATTGTGAAAAGCGCTATACAAATACATTTGAATTTAATTGAATTCTTCAGGAGAAAAAAAATCAATGTTTCCATTTAGGTGAAAAACCCGACGGAGGAGATGACCTCTCAGGATGAGAGCATTGCCAAGCTGACCAAAGAGAAGAAAGCCCTCCAAGAGGCACACCAGCAGACTCTTGATGACCTTCAGGCAGAGGAAGACAAAGTCAACACTCTGACAAATCCAAGACTAAGCTTGAGCAGCAAGTGGATGATGTAAGATGTTTGGCATAGGAATAAGACCATGAATCAATAAGAAATCAAATGTATTGCTCTATACCAGATTTTAATGCTCCAGTTTCTGTAACAATAGCTTGAGGGCTCATTGGAGCAAGAGAAGAAGCTCCGTATAGACCTTGAAAGAGTCAAGAGGAAGCTTGAGGGTGTGTCACGGACAGTGTTAAAGGATCCATGTGCAAAGGCAGTCCGTCTCTTTATTGAAGACACAAAACAAGGCAGTCCGTCATACAATGACACAGAACTGTGTCATTGTATGAGGATGTAATGCAGTCAACATGGGACTGCATGGGACTGCATTACATCCTGCAACACCTCGACAGACCTGGGAATTACGCAATGATCCTATTTGTGGACTTCACGATGAGAAGATCAAAAAGTGAGTGGCCATCAGATTTTGAACTTTACACAGTTACACAAAATAAGTGTTTGGCACATTTTACAAAACTATACTTTAAAAACAGGAAGGACTTTGAAATAAGTCAACTTCTCAGCAAGATTGAGGATGAACAGACTTTGGGAGCACAGCTTCAGAAGAAGATCAAAGAACTTCAGGTAACACTAACCCTAATCTTTCTGATGTGTAATGGTGAAGTAGATAGCTGCATAGCTGGAAAAATCCATATTACAAATATCAATAAAGAAGTCTTTTTTTTCATTTAGGCCCGTATCGAGGAGCTGGAAGAGGAAATTGAGGCAGAGCGATCTGCTCGTGCCAAAGTGGAGAAGCAGAGAGCTGATCTCTCCAGGGAACTTGAAGAGATCAGTGAGAGGCTTGAGGAAGCTGGTGGTGCCACTGCTGCTCAGATTGAGATGAACAAGAAGCGTGAAGCCGAATTCCAGAAGATGCGTCGTGATCTGGAAGAGTCTACCTTGCAGCATGAAGCTACAGCTGCAGCTCTCCGAAAGAAGCAGGCAGACAGTGTGGCTGAACTCGGAGAACAGATCGACAACCTCCAGCGGGTCAAGCAGAAGCTGGAGCCAGCTGAGGAAATTCAACCTGCCACAGGAGCTGCTTAAACAGTTCTACTCTGCTATCATTGAGTCTGTCCTGTGTTCATCCATAACTGTCTGGTTTGGTTCAGCTACCAAATCAGACATCAAGAGACTACAACGGACAGTCAGGACTGCTGAGAGGATTATTGGTGCCCCTCTGCCCAGCCTCCAAGATCTTTACATCTCCAGAGTGAGGAAAAGGGCTAAATAAATCACCTTGGACCCCTCACACCCAGCCCACTCTCTCTTCGAACTGTTGCCTTCTGGTCGGCGCTACAGAGCACTGACCACCAGAACAGCAATGCACAAGAACAGTTTTTTCCCACAGGCTATATTCAGTCTTAACAATTAATCTTTCATAATTATACATCGTCCATCACAACTAACATAGTATATTTATATTAAACTGCACACTTTGTAAATAACATATCTGCACACTAATAAACATATCTGTACATGTATCTAAACAATTGCATTTTTCCCTATACTTCTATTTCTGTATATAGTACATTATTACATTTTTCTATTTTTTATTATATTAGTTTTATATTACATCCCTACTGTGTTATTCCTATGTATGTCTACACTATCATGTATGTCTGCACTATGTTTGTACTTTCTTCTACACTGGAAGCTCCTGTCGTCAAGTCAAATTCCTTGTGTGTGTAAACATACTTGGTAATAAATCTCTTCTGATTCTGAACTGGATGAACCACAAATCAACCGAAGATGGTCTGGTTCCGAGGACTCCCGTCTTGGAGAGAGCTTGTGCGGCTGGGTTCACTGGAAGCAGCCACAGGACACAGAGAACACTAAGACGAGCACCGCACACTAAGCAAGACAAGACATGGTAAGATCTCTGATAGTATTGACATGAAGGGCGAAACAATACCGTATGCATGACACACAATAATCCGACAGAGAACAGTAAGCCCAACCAATAGAGTGACTAATAGATCAGAGTGGGAACAGGTGTCCTCGCAAAGCAGCACGAATGCTGATTGTGACGACAAACAGGTGGAGAAGCGAACTAGAATGAGCATGGGCATGCCTGAGTGTGTGTGTGTGTTCATGACAGTGTATGTATGTGTGTGTGAAATCCCATGTGTGTGAGAGAGAAACAGAGAAGCAAACCCAGCTCATGACAGGGTGATCTGAAACTGGACCTGGAGAATGAAAAACAGCAATCAGATGAGAAGATCAAAAAGTGAGTGGTCATCAGATTTTGAACTTTCCACAATGACATGATCCAAACCATTGTATAGGTGGTAGACTGTTTAAAAATCCAAAATATGCTGCCTTATCGGCCAAGAATGCTCTGGACCATGCGTAAGGAAAACAATTACAGTTACACATGAAAATACAATAAAGAATAGTGAAATGCGGTAAACAAATTCAAACAAATTCATGGAAACATAAAAAATTCTTCTGGTTTCATAGTTTATATCTCACAATGGTGTGACGAGGTCTAGAACAGTAGTGCCGTTAAACATGTGGATAAAAGCAAGATATCTAGCAATTTTAGGTATACTTACCAGGGCTTGGTCTGGTGTGTGAAAGAGTTAGAACAAGCATTTGTGTATGTGTTGTTAGGGTATATTAAATTGACTTACTGTCACTATAAAGATTTGTATGTTTATATTCATTTCAAAGTATTTATGAACACTGTTAACGAATCTGACTCTTAGTGACATTCAATGCAATATTTTATTAAAATATAAAAGAAAATCATGCTCGACACCTTAGTAAATAACTAAAGACTAAAACTAATATTTAAGCTAAACAA